ATTGAAGATTCCCTATGGGAAATGATATACAAAATTCCTTTTCAATGTACAAAAAGTTCTAAATTGCAATGGCTACAATTCAGAATAAATCAACATATCTTAGTTACAAATAAAATGTTATATAAAATAGGTTTGAAGGATACTAAACTATGTAGCTTCTGTGAGACATGTGAGGAAACAATTTTTCATATTATGTGGGAATGCCAGAAGGTTCAGGAGCTTTTACATAGTTTTACCATTCTTTGTGAAGCTCATAATATAGACTTTCCAAAAGATAGTTGTAATTTCATATTTGGGAATCCAAAACCCAACAATACTGAATTAAATACAATATTTTTATGTATTAAATCATTTATATACAGAACTAAATGTCGGAATGAGGTTTTAAGATTACAAGCGTTACGTGGAGATATTAAAACATTGCTATCTACGATGAAATATAGTGCAACAAAAAGTAATCAAATTAATGAATTTAATGATAAATGGAAAGACTGGCTTCTACTCATGTAAGACCCTGAAACCAGACACCTAAAGATTTCTTGCAATGCTTGGACATACATAGACCACTATTTTATTTCTATGAACATGCTTTTCTGTTCTTCTTTCACCTTTTCTCACCTCTCTCTCTCTCTTTTCTTCTTCTTCTTCTTTCCTCCTCTCAATCTCAATTGTCATTATTATATTTTTTTTATATTTATTTACTATATGTATTAATGATGTTTTGATGTTAATAAGATATTATAAACATGTATACTGTGACAATTGGTATTAATAAAAAAAAAAAAAAAAAAAAAAAAAAAAAAAGTTGCATCAAATGACAAAGTTTTGATAATTCTAAGCCAAAAAGTACCTAAGATACTTAAATATAGCCATAAAATGTCAAAAGGAGGTCACCATGACCTTCTTTTTGGTCAACATTTTCAGAGGGCCCAAGATGCATCAACTGACAATGTTTCATGATTCTAAACCAATAAGTACCTGAGATAATCAAAAGTAGGTCATTGTGACCTACTTTTTGGTCAACATTCTCGGAAAACCCAAGATGCCTCAACAGACAACGTTTGACAATTCTAGGCCAATAAGTACCCAGAATAAGTAAATATAGCCATAAAATTCAAAACTAGGTCACAGTGACCTACTTTTTGGTTGACATGTTCCAAAAACCCAAGTTGCATCAACTGACAAAGTTTGATGATTCTAAGCCAAAAAGTACCTAAGATGCTGAAATATAGCCATAAAATGTTAAAACTAGGTCACAGTGACCTACTTTTTGGTCGACATTCTCCGAAAACCCAAGTTGTATCAACTGACAAAGTTTGATGATTCTAAGCCAAAAAAGTACCTAAGATACTTAAATATCGCCATAAAATGTCAAAAGTAGGTCACCGTGACCTAATTTTTGGTCGACATTTTCCGAAGACCCAAGATGCGTCAACTGACAAAGTTTGATGATCATAGGTCTGAAAGTATTCAAAATATGCCTTTTAAACAATTTGAAAAAAAATGCCTGCAAAATTCAAAGAGTAGGTCACAGTGACCTACTTTTTCATAAATATGTTTTAAGGCTCTAAGATGCATTAACTTACAAGATTTGGTGAATCTAAACCTCTCAGTATCTGGAATAATGGGATTAAATGTTTTAGAAAAGATGAGCCATAAAATTCAAAAAGTAGGTCACGGTGACCTACTTTTAAGTTGACCTTGTTCAAGGACCCAATATGCATCAACTGACAAAGTTTGATGATCATAAGCCTTAAAGTGTCCAAAATATGCCTCCAAATCAATTTGAAAACAAAAGCCCGTAAAATTTTAAAAGTAGGTCACCATGACCTAATTTTGTGTTAACATGATGTGAAGTCCTAAGATGCATCAACTTAATGCATCAACTTACAAGATTTGATGATCCTAGTCTTTATAGTAAGCAAAATATCAACGTTTTTATTAAGTGTAAATTTTGGTTAACTTTGAAGTGACCTTGAGACCACGCCCTTTGCCCCAGGGTCATGCCTTGAAAAATTTTTAATCTTCAACATATCCTGAAACTTGTATGTAAGTTTGGTGAAAATCTGCCTGGTGGTTCTGGAGAAGAAGATTTTTTAGCAACCAGTACTTTTGGTTCTATTTTCCTGATTATCTCCCCTTGTTTTAGGGTCCCAACCCTAGTTTTAGTAAAAATGGTAGCCCTTGGGCCAAGGATACCCTGCAACAAATTTGACAATGATTGGCCGAGGGGTTCTTGAGTTATGGCCCATATTCTAAAAAGTTAACGCACACCACACACCGCACAAATGGCCATAGCATTAGCTCTTTGAGCCTTTGGCTCAGAAGAGCTAAAAATATGTATTGCATATAAGAATTAGAGTACTGTTTGTTAAACGTAGACATTTGGGAACGTTCTGGGCCATGAACGTGTTCAAACAAGGTGTATTCTCTACTGCCTATCTTTCATCTAAATTTTGACTAAAATTTCAATCTGCTTCAGATTCAATACGGACAGTAGTGAATTTAAATAAGTCCCTTAGTCAAAAGTGGTTTTTCACCATAAAAAAATATTCATTTGGAAGTTAATATCCGCATATGAAGCAGAAAAAGAGATCATGACTGAGAGAGGTAAATTATTATGCTTGCTTTCGTGCGCCGATGTACACTTACATGAATTCTTTATTTTTTCATAGTTTTCTTATTAAACGTGGTATCATCATGAAACTTGAAATGCATGATCATAAATTGCTACTTTTTGCTATGACAAGAAAAGGAATATGATTTAGCAAAGAGAAAATAAACTATGTTCCCTGTCTATGACTTTTTGGGACAATCCTCGAACATTCCCTTACATCTTTTTTTTACTTCTACAAAAATCAATTTTATTAAAGGTCTCTTCTTCTTACACGTTACAAAAGCAACTTTATTATCATGATTATGTTGTTACCGTCTTCCTTGGAAGACGGTATTGTATAGTTGAAGCTTTTTACAGTCTTCGGACTATGCACTTCCTCTCTTTTGTGATTGGTAGAAAATGCATGATGAGAAAATTTTCAATTATTTCATTGGTTGAAATGCTGTTCAAGGCAAGGGAGATAACTTTCTGATGATCTAATTTTCGTACGACTTAACAATTTTGCAAGATTTTCAATCTTAAGAAAAATGACAAAACGAACAACAAAATCAGCAGTAATTAATTCCTAATAACATGATTTTTTGTATAGCAAAAAATAAAAAGATCTCTTTAACTTCATTATAAATAGTAAAATTTGATTTTTATTGCTTGCAGGCTTTACAATTTGTTATTATTCTTTTCCCCTTTCTTGTTTGAAGAAGGAAATCAGCCGAGGTTTGTCGAAAGCTCTCGGCGAGTCAAAGTTTACGGAGATGACCGAGCGACAACCCTGGTAGGGCTAATGCCAGTAAAAAGCTAATGTAGAAATACAAAATCAAGAAATTCAAAAGAATTATACGGCCTGATAGGTGTAGATCAGTTTACAGTTTAAGATTGTTGCTAAAGACGGGAAGCTTTTTTAAAAAGCTCTACTTGTACTATGTTATACATCATGTACTATGGGTGCTCATTGACATTTTCTCTTTCCATGTTGGAAACTTTATTTTAATGTACATGTATGTTGAACTATATTATTGCTAATTATACTTTGAATGATCTGTTTCCATTTATATCAAGGATAAGAGAATGAATGTTTTTTTTTTTTTTGGTTTTCTCTGTGATAACTCTTTGAAAGTTAGGTGAGTTGATTTCTTGATAATTCTACTAGAATGTAAATTTTGCTAAACAAAAGGTCATTAGCTAAGCAGGCCTAATATGCATAATGTACAATGTAAATCTTGTGCTGTCAGTGGGCCTAATAACAGTACCCAACAAACTAGACAGTTTATATATAATTTGATACTTTAAAAAAAATCTAAAATTTCCAATGTTTTATGGAGTGGTAAAAAATTAGATGTTTGACCACAGTGTGTAATATTGCACCTGACGATGAGATGTTGGACAGCTTTTGTGACACAATGGAAAGGATCAGCTTAATCTCATCTGTATTCATAGGTGTTCAAAAGTAACAGGACTGACCGAGTTTAACCTTACTGTTGGCAAAGAAAATTTACATCACAGAAGCCAACGATGCAGGTATGTTAAAAAATTTAGGGTATAACAAAACATTTACTGACTGTGTTCTCTGGCAAAATGCTTTTGTCGACCCTTCAACTCAAACTGTTTGCCTTTGGCCTAATGGCTTCAGGCAAACAGTTTGGGTCTTGGGTGAGACAAAATGCATGTTGTCCTCAAACCCAGTCAATAAATGGATATTGTTATACCTTTAAAAATTTGTTCCTATACAAATTTTTATGAAAAAAGTCCAAAATTTCTAATGTTTTGCTGATCGGGCATAATAAAAAATTGATGTTTGACTACTGAGTGAGATGTTGGACGGTCGATGATGTTGGACCGCTTACTATACAGAATGGGAGAAGCTTAATCTCATTTGCATTCGTTTATGTATAATAGTGATGGACCTGAGGTTTACATTATGGAGGACAGTACATAATACGTGTGTCCAAAAAAACAAAATGTGTTTTGTCGACCCTGGAACCAAACTGTCTGCCTTTAGGTTCGGCCTAACCGCCTCAAGCAGACAGTTTGGTTCTTGGGTCCGACAAAACACGTTGCCCTCGAAGTCAGTCAATAAATGTATAATATTGCATTTCTTTTGATTTCATCTAATGATCTGATCACCTATGTCACCTACACATTTTTAGTAAGGAAGTTATGAAGTCTTTACATGTATATCAGTCATCTTGTTGCATGTTACTCCAGTATTGTAAATGTCATTTGATCAACTCCTTTAAATATGGATGCAGTTTGTGAGTTGAGTGACCAAAATGCTAAGCCTTTTACCATCATTCCTTCCATTATTAGAATATTTTCCTAGACACACACTGACAAAGCGATTTCTAATTGTCTAACATGCTCTGTAGACAACATGCAATGTTTTTACCTAGTTCCTCTCCTGTCTCGTAATCAAACTTGTACATCTTGAAGTCTTCTCCCCCACATACAAACACCTTCTTATCCTTGTGGAGAGATGCGGAGTTCACCTGAGTTGGGGCAATATAATCCTTAATTTTCTCATACCTATGTCATAAGGAAATAAAATAGTCAAATAAAATGTTATGGTTCTCTACTAGTACAAGAATAAAGCAAAAAATCTTCAAAATAATGTTTGTTTGTTGTTGTTTTTCTTCATTTTTACTTCTTCATGCTTATGCTCAAAGCAGCAGCAGTACAAATAAATTTTACTTACAAAAAAAAAATCAGTTGTCTATGATCTGAATGTTATTCAGATCTATGTTCATAATAATATTTTCATAGCAAAAAAAAATATAAAAGATAGTGATCAAAATGGTGACAACGTATAAGAGGTCTAATACTTGAATTGAACTAAAAAAAACTAAAAATATGCTTAGGTACAAGTCATTGTGTCTACCTGTCAGCATTCCAGAAGCTTGTACAATTGCCGTGGGTGATGACCAGAATTCGCCCATCACTGGAGAGTTCTAAACTGCTGGGAATTCCCGGAAATTCTAGTTTCTTCACCTCCTGTCCACTGACTGTGTCCCATACCCTGAAAAAAAAAACCTAACAGAATTTTATGGAGTATGCAGTTAGGGTGACAAAACACTGAGAATATCGCACTTCCTAAAAAAGGAAATTACTTGTGCCTACAATTATGGCCTGTATGAAGAGAATCTTTCTAGTTTGATTTTTGACTTAAAAAAAGGGATTCATGATACAAGTTGTAAGGTAAAAAACTTGCTAAAGTAATCAATTTTCTAAAAGTTGATAATGTTTACCATACTTTACATAATTTCATTTTTTTTATAAGTATACACATCTATAATGGAAGAAAACATTCAACATTTCAAATTGCTCCTGCTCAATTTATAAGCATTACCCGGTAACAGTATACAAGTCAAGACCTTGATGACATTTTAAAGTTTTGAATTGGCTGTCAGTCAATGAAAAATCATCGAGTTGATTGTAAACACTAGTAAAAGGGAGATAAATCCTGCTCAGAATTTTCCTGGTTGTAGAAAGATCATAGATAAAACCTCAAAATGATCAACATTATTTGCATGTTAAGAAGTGACTTCTATAGTTCTTATTTACAATTCCACAGTAATCAATATTTTCTCCAAGTCAATTTAACTATAATTTTCACATTCTAATGAAAACTTGCTATTACAGGACTCTTAAACAAATTATATCCTGAAAGCTTTTAATGAAGAAGTTTTCTTTTTGTTGTGTTTTCTGTACCTGACAGTTTTATCATCTGATGCACTTATAATCTGTTTGCCAAACTTGGCAAATATGGCTGCCCTTATGTTGTGTTCATGGCCACTAAATGTGGCTTTGGCATCTGCAAAATGAAACAAATATACAAAACTATAAAATCAGCATCCAACATACATTTAAGCAAGAAGATCCCAGCAGTATTTATTATCAGTGAGAGACACAAACATTCTGAGATCATGATAGAAAACTTAAAATATATAGAGGAATATAAAGGAATATTAATATCAGGTTTATTAATTACATATCTTACTAATATTATTTAGTTTCGGGCAAATTAATATATTAATTTTGGAAAAGGTAACATTGAACAGTCCAAATTATAGAAAATCAATAGCCCTGTAAAAGTATTTTGGGTGTTTCAATTAAATAATTTGTTATTATGAGTTTTCCCTTTCTTGTGAACGTACCAGATTCTGGTTGGTTGAGATCAAATATCCGTAACAGCTTCTCGTTGCTTCCAGTCAGCAGCTGGGTGTCATCCTCATCAAAGTCAACCGACTTAACGATGTGCTTGTGAGCGAAGGAATGTAGCTCCTCCCCACTCAACGAGTCCCAGATTTTTCTGCAATAAAAAAACAGCAAGTTTTTATCAGATATACACAATTAAAACACTTTTATTTTCGGATTCTTTCTGTCAACATTTTTTATAAGAAAAAACATGATATGATCATTATGACATCGCCTAATCTGCTTGTTCATATAAAGTGTTCATTAAATACTTAACTTCTTGTTAAATAAAATTTCAAGTGCTTGGGAATAAAAAATTTCTTTACTTCACAAATAAATACATGTATATCACTATTAGAGAGGTTTAGTTACACGTTTTGTGACGAACTTGTACGGGTGACGTCATCAATTGTTGTGTTCTTCGACGTCATGACGTCAAATCCGACGTGTAGCTACAAGTTTAGAACGTGTAATACATTGTCTACACGTATGGATTAAATTCTTTATTTTTTGATGCAGTTGATTGATTTTTGTGCAATAAAACAAGAACACTAGTCTATCTAAAAAAATTAATGAATGATGATTCGATGATTCCATCAAAGTATTAGTATTTTTATCAATGAAAAGTTAAACTCAAACTGGTACCAAACATCACCTTTATTTTGTACGCAGGATTCATTTGAAGAAGACCCCGTCAATGCACCAAATAAAAATTCATGGTTTCTTGGTGATGTTTCCCTTTCCGTTTTATTTTTTATTAAAACCTATTTGAACACCTCTATATTCTGTTTTTTTTTATAATAAAATATTTTAGAACTATTATATAACATCCACAGGCACTAGTGACATAACAAAAAATACAACCCCTCGCCTAATAAGTTATAGGTAGTAGGCCTATGTTCAACGTCAAGTGCTTGTTGAAATTGTATTTCATTAACTTTTTTTTTTCTTTTGTACTATCACTTGTAAAGATCTAGAGCAGACGCGTATTTAAAAAAAGGGGGGCGGTGTCTGATTTTGGTTTTAACAATGTATTGATGCATTAAACTTTATTCCATGCCTCCTTTCTAGACGTTATATGACTGAGCCTTCACAATTTATTGTTTTCAAAAGGTTTTCTTTTGGACCCCCCCCCCCCCCCCCCATTCATCCTCCACAAAGTCCAAAATGTGGTCTTTTTTTTATCGTCAAATAAATAATTTTTATGATTGCTTCCATTTTTAAGTGATGCAGAATTAAAAGCTTAATTGTCCTGTAGAGATACTAGGTGACAAAATATTTAGAGCAATTCACTGCATTGAGATGACAATACATATAATAAGTTTTCATAGTTTATGATATCTATGACTAGAGTAAGTATAAATTCCATTTCACCATTGATTTGTCTAAATTAAAAATAATAGATACAATGCCGTTCAATTAATTTACTGTTCAATCACGAAATGCATACGTACACGTGTACGTATAACTAAATCATGTTATTGACGTTGACGTCAAATAGAACGTGTACGTCAATATTACGCGTACACGTTGTTACGTCACTTGTAACTAAACCTCTCTATTATATGTATAACAAAATTCATTAATCACGCTGAGAAGTCTGCAGCTCCGGTGGCGGCTCGAGTGGCATCTTTATTTATTGTGGCGCCCCACACCGCTCCTTTGTGGCCTTTAAATGTCCCGATCCAGTCCCCTGTATCACCCTGTCTCAGCATCGGGTTCCCATCTAAAATTAGAACAGCACTGTGTACAGCTGGTTCACTAGATCTATGATGATGAACAGGTTCATTTATATACAGACTAATTAATCGTAAATTAAGAATTGACTAATAAAGGGGTAGAAAAAATACATTTTAACCACATTACTTTTGGTTATGTTAAATCAATTTAAGATATTTTTAAAATAAATCTAAATGAGGAAATTCGGATATAAGTAAACACCCATATTGTTTGGAAAATTGGTAAAATGTTCGAACATTTTAATAATTCAAACCTTTGCATGCACTTATAAGAAAGTATCCAAATGGAGTTATATCACTGAAGGCCAACTGGACCACTGGGCGCGTGTGGCCACTGCATGTCAACGGTGTTTGTCGCAATCCCGACATGTTGACGTCCAGTTGAACCTTCGGAATACCTCGGTAAAAAAAATTGTATCAAGTGAAAAAATTATTTCGGATTTCTCCGGAAAAAATGGCATTGCTAGTGTCCAAAGTCAAAATTAAGAAACAAATGAATAAATAAATAGCACTTACAATTTTCAGACATTATTTCTCTACACTGAAGTTGTTTCATGTGAGGAAAAGAAGGGAATTTTAAAAGGGAAGGGGGGGGGGGGGGAGTAAACTTCACGATCTGGCATATAACGTTATATTCATATATTCCAGTAAATTGTCCAATAGTCGGATGATTTCTGATATAGTTTTACTGTAATGTCTAGATGGAAAAATTCCAATGGTAAAGCGTAAAAAAAAACCTAAAAATTACACCGCGTTTACAGTATAATATATCATTAAATAATACGCTGTAAATTCTAAGGGACATTATCTCAAATTTTCAGGATATGTTTTCTCGTAAGAATTTTTATGCTGCACTGGAGACTGAAAAATTGACAATTATAATTAGATTGGAAATTTCAGGAATGGAGAGATGGACTCGATCTTACATGTATACTTCTCCACTCTTGGAATGGGGGGGGGATATAACAGTATAAGATAAAGTATAGATGTTCCCAATATACCTATACTTTTCTGCATGGTTCACTTATACAGGCACGTAGCATCGATTTTGAAAGTGGGGGGGGGCAGCCACAGAATTTTTTCTTTACTTACCTGAAAAAGTTGACAAGCAAAAAAAAAAGGAAAATTGCCCAAAGTCGAAAATCCTATTTCGTGGAGGGGGGGGGGGAGCAAACTTTTCTCACTACCAATTCCGTTCGATATCCATTTTTTAAGCTTACAATACTATATTTCCTTCATATTACTTTCCTTAAGTATAAAGTGGGGGGGGGGGGGGGGGGCAACCAGCCTTTCAATAAACATTTTCAAAAAAAAAAGGGGGGGGCAGGCCCCCCTGTTGCTACGTCCCTGTTATACATGTATTCACAAAATGTATATAGGGTCTCGATTTCAGAATTTTTTCCTGCATATTATCAAAGATATAGGTTTTCTCTACGAAGCTGAATAAAATTTGGCCTCGGCTGCAGCCGTGTCCCACCTCACCGACGTAGAACTGAAGTTGATTATGTATTTAATTATAGTAAATGGTTAATGCTCGGGACCCTCCCCCTCCACAGTGCACGTGGTTTTACATGATTCATATGACCGTAGGAAACCGGGGGAGGGGGTTGTTACTTTATGTGCTTTAGCTACCTACAAAAAACCATAGAAGACTTCTTTTTTTCCCTATTTTAATGAAAATATATGGTTGTGTCTCTCCAACTGAAATTGCTTCCCGCGGGCCTAAAAACCATAGACACGATCCCCATTTTGATTGTTAAAAAACATAAATCTACAATACAATAAACATACTTGTTATGTTTATACTTTAGTAGGTGTATATTCTAAACAATGAAGATGGGGAGTGCCTATAAATTTTGTCTGAGATATAAAATCCAACTGATAAATTTCAGTAAATTTGAGAATTAATTTAAATATTTAAAATAAGATTTTAATTCTTTAGCTAAAAGTAAAAGGTATCGACACCTCGGATCTGTGCTCAAGCCAACTAATTAAAACTTAAAAAATCAATCCTGATCCAGCCTTTCCAGGTGGAAGTCATAATTTAGGCCTAAAATAATATTATTCGTGTATTTATTTATTATTTATTTATTTGTTTGTTTGTTTGTTTGTTTGTTTGTTTGTTTATTTATTTATTTATTTATTTATTTATTTATTTATTTATTTATTTATTTATTTATTTATTTATTTATTTATTTATTTATTTATTTATTTATTTATTTGTTTGTTTGTTTGTTTGTTTGTTTGTTTGTTTGTTTTGATTTTAATGTCATTAATTATTTTCTTGTCGAGCATTCATGAGCAGCGAAAAATATACTCTCCGACATATTCCGAGTTTATCAGTCCAGTATATTTCATCATAACCGGATTTATTAGAGGGCTTCCGAAGAAGCGCTCAATATCCGCAGAAGATGGGCAATCCTCGGCTGACTCCGCTACGCTCCATTCAAACCTCGGATGTGATAGGTGGAGGAATACGCATCAGATCGCTACATTTCTCCGCCGGAAACTGCCTTGTCACTCATTTCATATTTCGCTCTGCCTAAAGTTCTTAGAAAAGGTTTCTTTATTTGTGTTATTCCTCATGTTAATTACAACCAAATGTTAGCATTCTTTGAAAGCAAGAACAAAGTGTTGGGCGTGCATCAAAGTAACTCGGATTTCAAAAGTATAATATTTGAATGAAATTCAAATAAGATCACATGACTGAATCAGCAAGATGGAAGATCACCGTTGACGTCCGAGGTTATGTGCGAGGTACGAGTCATCCGAGGAACTCCGATTGGCAGAAGATAGGACTGGTTCTCTGCCCTTTTTTCCAGTCGCTGCCGCTAGGAATTACAGGTTTAGGGCGCTTGCGCCCGTTAACCAATGTCAGGGTACCAGTCTACGCAGAAGATAGCGGCAAATTCACAACGAGAAGTAAAATGTAAACAAAAGTATGCATTTTGAATATTTCCTCTTATTTTAAAGTTCGAATGGTTAAAAGTATTAGTATTGAAAATATATATGATTGATTTCTACTCTATTTGATTTTTATTGATAAAGTACAGAATACATGATGTTATTTCAATGTAAAAAGATGAACATGTCCATGCTACTTGACCCCAACCTTTGTACAGACCTAAACCGATAGAATTAAACCAGAAAGTAAACAGTCCAATACATATACTAGACCGTAGCTGGAATCATGGAATCACCAACTTTGATTTAGCTTCTTGAAGTATCTGTAAACTAGGCTAATGCATAGGCGCTTGGTTTCAGGATGGTGTATTTTGTATAAGTTAAGTTTTTCTAGCTGTGACTAGGTGTGTCTAAATACACTCATTTGAATAAAAAAAAAATTCGTTGAAATTAGCACGTTTTAAAAAATGTCATATTTACTGTTTATAAAAAGTTCACACTTGTTTTAAATCAATATCTACATTTTCTATATATTCGATCAATGCATACTATCTTTGCAAGATATATAACTGTATTCAGCGGCAGCTCACACATATTTCCGACCAAAATAATTCCATCATGATAAGTAGATACAACATTATTGTTCATGATAAGAGTAAAGTTGTGTATGTCATACGTTAAAGAAATCAAAAATAACGTCAAAATATCATTAGAAAGTCACTTTCCCCCCGAAATGCAAATAAAAAATATCAATATTCCTACGCTCGCTCCCTCCTCAGCCTTTTTTTTTTTTACGTGTTTGATAACAGAGAATAATTAGGTCATTCTTCGATTCATATCTTTTCACCAATGAATTGATAATACTATATCAACAATTGTATTAAGTACATGTTTATACTATAGTCCGTTAATTATCATACAATTTGTTCTTAAAGAAAAAATTAATCATTCTGTGTGTGTGTATTATTAAATGACGGAATTTTCAATCCCTGGCCTGCTCGTGTGTACACTTTGTAAACTGTAGGGTATGTGTGGCAAAACGAGAACTGCATGGGTTGGAGATTCGTGTTCGTGTTGAAGTTCAGCATACCATTATATATAGAACTTGAATAATGTAAGTAATTTCTGCGACAAATATATTAGTATATTTCAGTTATTTTCAAAACAAAAAAGGTTTTCCATGTTTTCAGTTTATTTTCCCCGGTTTATCAACCCGGCCATTTAAAACACAAGTTGTTGCAGATGCAAATGTTAGAACAAAGTTCAACAAACTATGTAAAGTTCAACAGGGATTGTATAATTTTTATTAATCGGACTTCGTATTTATATGATCTAATTAAGAAAAGAAACGTTTTTTCTGACACCGTAACTTCTCTGCAAAACAAAACGTGTTTTTCCGAGCTCGCTGGATGCGTGTGACAGCTCCATTGCACGTGTGTAGACCAAGGCTACAGGTACATGTAGGCCTATGTGTACTGTTTGTTAGGAGACTGGGTGACCGTAATGCTATGGAATCACGATATTTACAACAGTTCCATAACAAGAAAACATTGATGTAACCATCAATTGTCGCCCGGGAAATATATAAAGTAAACAATGGAAATGACCTTTGATCATCAAACCGCTTCGATACGTGTGAAAAGGCATGCGTCTAATTGATGGAGACGATAGTCGCGAATATTTGGAAAACTTATAGTCGGATAAATGTCAAACAAAAACGATACCATTTTAAACTTCAATTCCTCGAGTAAATGTTGGCTGCAACATATAAAATTAAAGACCTTTATAAAATAAAATATAAATTGAAGGTAGACACATGCATCACCTATATTCAAAAATGTATTTAATTTTCAATTTTAGAATATACTAGTAAAACACGAAGTGTGCATAGAACGTTTTTATGCGAGAAGTAAAATTCGATGATCTTCGTTTTTTCGAAGTAAATGATAAACAACTTTATATATTAAATGTGAAAAACATATGTATTTTTAGAGAATCACTTTATGGAAGTAAATATATTATGTATCTCGTAATTTATAAAGGGAAAGAACATTCTGATTAACAATCTTTTCAATGTTTAGAAAACTTTTGATTTTGAATAACTACTCCCACCCCAATCCCCATATACCAACACTTAAACTTATATGTATAGAGCAGCCCGGTCCTCCGGGCTGCAATTAGACAGTGCAGTTTTTTTTTATTAACGTCATTATAAACACTGTTAAACATATTAAATCTAACAGTCGAATATCTTTGGATATGGGGTAACCCATATCTATTCTTGTTCCTACTGGTGTCGTGTGAGATCTAGCTTAAAAAATTTTTGAATAACGCCTTTCAGACATCTGCCGATTTGAACTTGCCATATAAAACATGAAGTAAACCCAAAACGTCCTCTATACCAAGTACAGAAATCAAAAGCAACGGGAGCGCTAATTTCTGACAATGAAAAATGTAGAGGCGTTCCAGAATTACACGGAAAATCTAGAGAGACCAGAAATCGTGCCAGACTTGTTCTATCTAGATTTTAGTTGTTATCATTTCTGAAGATAGATCTCACTCGACATCGGTAGGGAAAATGTAGATATTGATTTAAATCAAGAGTGAACAGAGGCACCCCTTGAAATCCCATGATGGTGAGTGACGATCTTTTCTTCTTTTTATAAACAGTAAATATGACATTTTTAAAACGTGCTAATTTCAGCGAATTTTTATTCTTATTTTAATGAGTGTATTCAGACACATCATGAAAAACACTTAATACACAAAATACACCATCCTGAAACCAAGCGCATATGGGCTAATGTTCCCTATATCTGCTTCAATGCTTGCACCACAGGCCTCTGAATTTCTATAATAAGCTGTTATATGATTGATCAGAGTGATATATATTATATATCACTCTGATCAATCATATAACGGCTTATTGATAGAAATTGATAAAAATTCATATATATATATGTATATATTATATACACACACCCGGTATGCAAGGACTTTTTAAACCCCTCGTGGATTTGGAGCCGAAATTTTTTGGAAAACGAAGT